CAAGCTTTCTCTAGACAGACAGTGAGTGCGGGTCACTAAAACCTGTACTCCAGTTAACACATTGTGCATGTATTGGTATACGATTTAAGTCTGCCTTAACATTTAACCTTTTTAACCTTTCATGACTTAAAGAAATAGTTGTATATGTACACTAATATGCATATGATTTTGACAAGTTAAATAGAGCTGATCCTGTTTTTAATATAATACAATATTTCAAACTGTTTCAGAGTAGAGGTTTGAGAATTCAAAAATATTCCTAGCAGTGTTACATGGTGCTAGATAATGAAAGGAAGTTGTAAAATGTCAAAAACTATTCTCAGAAGATTTTATAAATTAAATGTCAAGAAACAAAATGTCATTGGTGTAATTTGTTTGATTTTTTTATAGCTTATTGACAATGCATTAGGAAACGCAAGACAATCCTTTCTCTAATAATGTACAGGAGAAATTTCAGTAATTTAAATTTGTGTTTTCTTTCTTTTTGTCTTTCCTTAAGATAACCTCAGAAGATAGTACATTAAATTATCGAGAATTCAAAATTAATTTCTTTTAGACAATATTGAGGTTAAAATGTCGATATCGACATTTTTGTGCAAAAAACCTTTTGACGATCCCAATGCGGCGCCCCTTTGTGTTTCACAGATGTATACATGCCTTGCTGTTGTTTCTGGCAACATGCTAGTTGTGATGACATTTTCCCCACAAGTGTTTTCGCCCCCTCCCCCTTTTTCCCCATTTCCCTACATTTTTGTTGACCTTTAATTATCTTACACCTGTTGCCGGTACAGACCGGAATATCTAGCTTGAGGGTAACTGCCGAGTTCTTATGATTTCCTCTTTTTGAAATTTAATGATAACTACACGTTCGTGCTTTGCTCTGCCCTGTCTATGTTTGGTGTCCTGCTGTGATCCTTGCCTCTGACCCAGTGTTGCTTGGTTGTGATAGGGAATGCCGCCCTTCCTTCTTGATCTTTGTTTTCATATTTGATACAAAAAGGATCTTTGTATTATATTGTATGAACATGCATAAAACAAGAACATGTACAGTGATTCAAACCCGGCTGACGACGCATTCCATACAGATTACTAACAACTGATCACAAAACGCAACAATTTCTCTGACTCCGTCTATACCGACGTACACATTTAGAGATATATATTAATATTAAATATATTAAATATTGTTATATTTTACGTAACGGAGGTGAATTGTTATACTTTTAAAGGCTATGAATATTTTTCTTAAGGTTGATTTATTCGAAGATTATCTTATTCTCTATCATTTAACTGGTAAGTGTTGGCAATTCTGGGCACTTTTTAGTATTTTGTGAAGTTAGATACTTATTCGTTATTTATCTAACAGAAAAGAATATCTAGTTAGTCTGATAAATACATGTATCTGCTATTTATCATGTAAACACGAAAACTAACTACGAGTTAGTTGTTAGTCAGATAGATAATTATATGGTTAACTGTTGGCAGAAATATGCCACCATAAAAATGCCATAAAATAAATAAAAAAACTAGAGTGTATTTTGTATATGGTGTTTACCTTTTTGATTGATTTTTTGTGGGGGTATTGATATCGTTTGTATCGTTTTGACAACAATATTCTACAAGGTAATATAAAAGTCACCGATTTATTCATTTGAAGGCGGAAGGGTTAGTACATGTACATACAGTATATGAAATATAAAAATGAAATCACCAGATATATTTATCTCATTAATGTACATAAATAAAAAAAAATCAAATAAAGTTTAAGAATAAGAAATGAAATATTGATTTGTAACTGATTTACTCCGTGACTGTTTTTAAATAAATGTTTCTTCTTTAATGGTTCCTTTGTTATAAAGCTATAATAGAATACAATACAATAGAATACAATAAATTGAAATTTTTAACCAAATATAAAACAATGTGGAAACGTGTAAAAAATGATAAAAAAAACTTGTGTTTTTTATTTGTTCTTTACTTATAGATATAAAAGAATCACAGAGCATTTCAAATGTTAATAACAAATGATACTTTCAGGAGTTTCATATCACTAAAACGCAGTCATTCGAATATATCTTAATGTAGTTTGAAATTTTAAAGAATAAAGAACGATCAAATGATTGACTATTAACTTACAATTAAAGCATATTTTCTAATGGGGAGTCAATTTTGAATTACAATTTTTGAAAATAATTTGAATGTTTGATACCATCATACTCATCATCAACAACAACAACAACATCACATTCATCAATAGCATCACAATCATCAGTTTCATCACCTTCGCACTCCTAATCCGTGTCTTGTTTTTATTTTTCATTATGGCGTTTTTGCACTCGGTTGACCATCTCTTGACCTGTTACCTATCATTGTAGTTAAACGATCTGAGCAACAGTTTATGTGCTCCTTAAATTAATTGTAATGGTTTGTTTTTCATTCGTCATGATTGCGTTATAAAATGTTCCGATTAAATTATTATTATTTTCTTTATCATGTAGATGAAAGAATCTTTTCGTACGAGGAATTGTTACAAATATAAAGTCGCAGCCATCGTAAATTGCTCAATGTTTTTGAAGCAAATAGTTAAACTTTGGAAGAGTTCAAGAGAGTAGTGTGGGCAAATAAAACAAAATCGTGCATTCTTCGGTTCCAGGTGCGGTTAAACGGGTCATGACCCCGCCCTACCTCACGGAATTTGACGAGTACATGGCCCCTCGAAGATTTGGATATCTAACTTTCTTTTTAGTGAAATTTTCTCAGAAAACAAGTGAGAAAAACACAGCATAGATATGACACCTGGAAAACTAGTCACTTGTACATTTTATTAATATTGCTGAAAAATAACCGTTTACCTATATCAATTACTTAGACAACAACTTTGAAATACGTCTTTTTGTGATTGTTTTTAAAGATGCAGTAAACAAATTATGTAAACATATTTTTACGTCGGCTTAAAAACTAAACAGTCTATAGTTTTGTTAACGTTTTTTAACAGTATTGCTGTAAATCTCATTAAATATTGTTCATAAGTTAAAATTTTAAAAGGAAAACCCCACGGTAACACTTAAGTTCGTATACGAATTTTAACACGCATATGAAGACTATTATAATTAGCTCGTGTATGGGCTACCTCACAGTGGTAAAATCAATTGATCACAGCAAATATGAGATATTCTTGTGCAAACAGACTTTTACCGTTTTAGTTTCACGATGCATAAACCCTGTCAATCATCTCATAAAAAGATAGAATTTGTATGAAAACATCCGTAATATAATGCGGAAATATACCATTTTATTCGGACTGCTACTTAAAAATGTTTGCTGATTTTCTATTGATGTACGGAGGACCCATGATCATATCATTTTAAAATGCATCATTAAAGGAACTCCACTGAGGTTAATAAGCCCAAAACATAACATTTTTTTCACATAGATAAATATGAGCACTTTAAACAGAAATATAAATAAAATATAACTAAGAACTACACAAGAAATACATTGATAATCATATGTGCTATTCTCAGTCCGATTTGAGTGAAAAGCGTTTAAACGCTTTTCAATTTTGGGTCATTTTTCACTATTATAATAATTATTCTGGAAAAACGGAGCAAGCTAATGATCTGAAATTTCCAGTCCCGTCATGTCATAAAACCTCAGTGGAGTCCCTTTAAGGAATCATTTGAAAATGAAAATTTGTATCTGAATTATTTTGTATTTGTGAAGCAAAGTATTTGAAAGGAAGATTTTCACCTATCTTAAGATGTTTTGAAACTGCAAGTGTTTTCTGTTGATATTGTTGTTGTGGCTACTGATGTTCATTGTTGTCGTCGTCATTGTTGTTCAGAAGATCCGTATTTTCTGTGAAGCCAATCAACATAACATTATGTCATTTCCACGAGTGTGTTTTATAAAATATTTCATTTGTATGTCAATTTGTATTTAAACATTCGTAAACAATAATGAATGTATCACATATCTCTAAAATTATATCATTTAAAAATCGATATCAATTTCGTAAGTAAAAATATCAAGAAGAAGGGAAAATTTGGTATGGATGATTATGTACATAAATAAATGCAATACAATATTATAACAATATACTAAGTTTACAGCAACGGCCAACAGGAAATAAATACGACAAAAAGATTAAGCGCAATGCTATTTTGCAAACTACATGATAGAAAATGTCTATAAACAGTCTGTTTTGTGGTAATCCTTTTTTATAAACAGAAAAGCTGATAAAATGACAATAAACCGTCATTTCGTAGATAACGCCCTATAAAAAAAGCAATAATATATTTCTAAATTAAGTATGAAATCGCAGATGTTAACTATATGTATGGCTCGGTTAAGCATCAACAAATTATCGTAAACCAGAACAAATATATGATTATTAACAGACGAAATTAAGAACAAGGGAAATGTTCAAGGTTAAACATTTATTATCTCTTTTAAAAATCAAAAAGTTCAATATGAAGCGCAGATGCCGCTATTTACAAAATAACATTTCTCTAATATGCGATATTTTATTATGTTTGTGCCAGATTCTAAATAAAAGGTTGACCCAGTGATTGAAGTGTCTAGTTCCTGGAAGCGAATGGTTAGATTAAGCTACAGGCGATGTTTATAATAAAGCTTAAATAAACAATATTTGATTTAGGATTCTATGTTGTGTTCTATGCATCTGCAAACAAATTTTTTTAATTGTTAAATTCTTTATCTTACAGAGGGATATTATTTCATGTATAATGAATATAAGTTTTAATATATCAGTGACAGCACAGGTTTTAGTCAAATTTCTGCATTGCCCGCTGTTAAAGTGCTGCTACATGTATATAAAGTACATGCGTGCGCGCTTCAATAATTACAAAGAAGAACGATTTGAATAAAAGAATTTTATTCCTCGAATTTATCCTTCTAACATAATAGACATGTTGCTTAAATATGAAATTATATGCAGTCTTCTATAACTATTTCAAGAATAAATGACAAACAACATAAAAACGAAGTGTTTTAATGATTGTATGTAATTATGTTCTATGTACAAATTACACCTATATATAACATTATCAGAATCACTATTATGTAAGAACAGAAACCCTTTTCTGTTGTATAAATTCAGAATATAAAACATGTTTTTTCCGTAAATTGTTCTAAATTTTAATTTCCATCAACGTTTTGAAGAAAAAATATCGAAAACTATAAGTTTGATTAACAAACAACTACAAGAATTGTTCAAGGTTTTTTGTTGGTAGTTTTTATTCCGATTCACAATCTGAGAATATGTCTATGACCCCAACACAAACATCACCGATAGAATCAAACAGTTGTTTCGTCGCTTCTGGGCTTAGATCTATACCTTTCATGCCGACACTTTGTAACCACGCAAATAAACTACCCTTACTAACAACCCCCTGAAAAGCAACATCATATTTATAAATAAGTGTTTTGTTATAGTGATTTAATTACTGTATTCTGTATCGTTTAATCGGAGAATCATCTGTTCAGTTTTCTTTGAAAGGAGATTGCATATATCTTATCTTATATCTTATCTTATATCTATATCTTATATCTTATCTTATGTCTTATTTTATGTCTTATCTTATATCCATATCTATATCTTATATCATGTCTAATCTTATGCCTTATCTTATATATTATCTTATATCTTTATCTATATCTTATCTTATCTTATCTTATGTCTTATCTAAACGAAAATGGAAATTGTTCGTATTAACTATTGAAGCTAAATCAGAACAAATCTATAATTTATACATACGATATAGGACATCCATTTAGCTGCTATTGAACCAGCTACTATTCCAGCAGAGCCGAATCCTAGAGCACTGAGAATATAAGGAGATGCGGCTATAGCCCCACCTATCGCTGCGTAACATGCTAGTTTCTTTTTACTTAATCCTTCATCTGTAATACATATGCTTAAAAATCTAATAATCAATGTGAAAAAAGTTCATGCGCGGAACTTATTAGGGACAACTTATGATTTGCAACAACATGTGGCCGGTTCGATCCTGGGATGATGTGACTTTTTTTCGTGACAACTTATGTCGAACATAGAGATTTACGGTCATTTCTCTCCATCGCTGATTTAGGAATCCTCGAATCCTCTGGTATTCGTACAGGTATACGGAGAAAATGGCAATTATTGGTTAATTATCAAGGAAAGCCGGTAAGGGTGACTGTTCACCGACTTTTGACCAAAAGATGTGTGAAATAGGCATAAAGTCTAGACAAACAAACAAAGTATTATGATATGAGTCAAATAAGACAAAAAATACACTTACCAAAACGAAATCAAAAACGTTTAAATTGAAAATATTGAGGTGTTTTATATCAACATGTATGTTTGATCATGTGAATGATGTATATAGAATTTATTTGATAGCTCCACGACTACTGCGGTTCTTGTGTACACATTTATTTATTTATTTATTTAATCATTTCTATTTAGATAAATGTTCTCCTCGAACATTAAGAACTTATCTTTTTCACATGTTGGGATATTCTTCTTCCATTTGCCATTTACATCTTTCCTGATAACGTGACATCCATTTGGACTGTACCCTTTATTGCAGTCAAGGATACATCTCATGACATTATTTTTCACATCCAAGCGCCATTTACTATTCACAGCTTGATCATTGTCTTCAATAATAGTTTACATAAGTGTTTGTTATATTTCTTTTAAAAAGTTACTTATGCATATTGTAGTCATAGACTATTTTAGAAATTACATACCCAAAACAGTGATTTTATCGCTAAATAAAATCACATTTAGGAGTTCGGATGCGAAGAATTATATCACGAGGGCGCAGCCCGAGTGATAAAATTTTGCGCATCCAAACGACAAACGGTGATGTGATCAAGCGATAAAATGACATATTTGAATATATTATATCGATTCTGACACGACATCAATAAATAAATGCTGCCATACCTGATATCAAGCTATTAAATCGTGCCAGGTTTGTTTCCGTACTTATTTTCAGCGCGTTACATTTTTAGTGGTTACGTCACATGTATAATGATTATGTCACATAAAAATATCAACATCGGTCCTTATATATAAATATTAGTTTTTAAAGTATTGTAATGTTACATCGAAATAGTTAAAGCTTTTAGAATTAGACGTTGAGTCGTTGAGTCGTTTGGTAATTTGTGTCAATTGCCGTTCAGGATCAGAAAATTTAAGGGTTTTCTAGAAAATAAATTTTTTATAGGTTAAACCGAGTGTGTAAAAGAAGTTACTCTAGTTAATTAAGATGTTAACTAGTTACGTTAAAAGCATCCGAGTAGCTGGCAGCTGTGGCATTTTACACCAAAAATGTTGTTTTGAAGAAAGATAAAGTACTCACCCGGACAAAACGCTTTTGCTGTCATTGGTTTCACTATCCGATCTTCAAAATCTTCAAAATCTAGATCAACAAAAAATGTATCTACGGTCACATTCAGAGTTAAAAGTATTATCAAAGCTATGTAAATACTTTTAACTGCCATTTTAGCTGTTAAAGTCGAAAGATTTATACACGGCTATTTAGAAACGAATTAACACCTTAATAAAACATTTTATGTTTTAAACTCGTCTAGCCTTGTCAATATTGTTATCGATTTTAATCGTATTTCACATTGGCCTTTTTCACAGTCAATTCAATAGTTTCTCAAAATCATTCAATAGGTGCATTATTGCATTTTGTCACCGGATATCTATTTAATATTTCTATATTTAAACAGGACAGAAAGAACGATATTTTATGTTACAATTTTCTATAAAAAAAGTATTTGAAAAAATTATATAAACTATGGTGGCATATTTTTGCCACCAGATAACCTGATAACTAACTAGTTAATTAAGAGGTTAACTAGTTACGTAACTAGTTAATTTTTTCAATAAATAAAAGCTCATAACGGGAAATAAATGCATATTAGTGCCTACAACTGCCATCCATTTATTATTTTACCAGCTTAGTATTTACGTAACTAGTTAACCTCTTAACTAACTAGTTTATTAAGAGGTTAACTAGTTACGTATTCTGTAATTAGTTAACCTCTTAATTAACTAGTAACTTAAGGTAGAACACCCCTAATTGGTACCATAAGGAACTGTAAAATTGACAACATAGGATTAGGACAGTTATATAAATATGCATTAAATGTCACCTGTATGCAAAATTAAACAAAATTTACCGTGTGGTTTATGAGTTTTGGACATTTTTCTGAAGTAAATGTTTGCCATTAGGATGGCTTTTTTCAGAAATGAGGATACTCTAAACAATCTATAAGTTCATCATTATGAAAAATGTTTTCCTATTGCTAATTTTTAAGTATGGGTAAGAGTTTGTATTAAGACGACCGCAGGGAGTCTTATCAAACTCTTAAGGCCTCAACAGACGGTAGGATTTTGAAGTACAACACCAATTAAAACTAAGATGTACAGGCAATTCTAACACGACTCGCATTTTCCCTATTGAACATAGAAGAACCGAAAGTGTGTGTTATTATGCTATAAAATCACTGTTTGACGTTCTATATTTAGACAAGTGACGTAATCATAATACACGTGACATAACCACTAAAAATGTAACGCGCTGACAATAAGTACGGAAACAAATCAGGCGCAATTTAGCTAAATATCAGGTACGGCAGCATTTATTTGTTGATGTCGTGTTAGAATCGAAATAATATATCAAAATCGGTGATTTTATTGCTTGATAACATCACTGTTTGTCGTTCGGATGCGCATCATTATATCACTTGGGCTACGCCCTCGTGATATACTTCCTCGCATCCAAACTTCAAACAGTGATGTTATTGAGCAATAAAATCTAAGTTTGGGATATATTATTTCTTAAATCTTAATGTGTGAAGGCTACTATTTCCTGATTTCAGAAACCTTTAGGGCCCGTCTACACCTATCCAAGTCTTGAATGCAAGTATCATATTCTCTTGTATTGCATAGTGTAGACACCCTACTTGAATGAGTTTTAAAGAGAAATTATGTGACATCCAAGAAGACAATTCCTTGCAAGAAAGTTAGAACACGATCTATTTTTCTACAAGTTTTTGGCTGTCAAGACACTGATAACACCGGTTTGACACAAAACATGTGCCCTGAAGGTGCGATAGTGTTGTTTCTTTATTATTTTCTGACTTTTTTTGTTACTGATCTGTAAATTTTGATAAGGGCCCGTCTACACCTATCCAAGTCTTGAATGCAAGTATCATATTCTTTTGTATTGCATAGTGCAGACACCCTACTTGAATGAGTTTTAAAGAGAAATTATGTGACATCCAAGAAGATAATTCCTTGCAAGAAAGTTAGAACACGTTCTATTTTTCTACAAGTTTTTGGCTGTCAAGACACTGATAACACCGGTTTGACACAAAACATGTGCCCTGAAGGTGTGACAGTGTTGTTTCTTTATTATTTTCTGACTTTTTTTGTTACTGATCTGTTAATTTTAATAAGGGCCCGTCTACACCTACCCAAGTCTTGAATGCAAGTATCATATTCTCTTGTATTGCATAGTGTAGACACCCTACTTGAATGAGTTTTAAAGAGAAATTATGTGACATCTTAGAAGATAATTCCTTGCAAGAAAGTTAGAACACGTTCTATTTTTCTACAAGTTTTTGGCTGTCAAGACACTGATAACACCGGTTTGACACAAAACATGTGCCCTGAAGGTGTGATAGTGTTGTTTCTTTATTATTTTCTGACTTCTTTTGTTACTGATCTGTAAATTTTAGTAAATGTAAATATCTTGGTCTCAGGAACAGATCAATACGCTGAAACACAGAAGAGCAAAAAAAAAGAAAATAAAAAAATCAGTTTTTCAAGTAGTTAAAATGGATTTTAAATGATCTTGTTCATTTAGTGAATAACTTTCATCAAATAAAGAATTTGCATCAATTTATCAGCTCAAAAAATATTTTTCTCACATGTTCCATTATTTTAAAAGAATGTACACATTTCAATTTCATTTACTCCATTGTTTTTAGCTAATTGCATCATTTTCCCGCTTTTTTTTATTTACATATTTTACAGAAACATGATAGTAGGTATAAATCCTGGGCAATCTTAATTAGACATTTCAGTAAAAATTGTGCCTGATAAAATATTGAAAGGGCCATCCATTTAGCTTATCTAAATGTGACATGTAAGAAACTTGAATAGGTGTAGACGCAGCCTTAGTAAATGTATACAATATCTGAACAGATCAATACGCTGAAACACAGAAGAGCAAAATAAAAAGAAAATAAAAACATCAGTTTTTCAAGTAGTTAAAATGGATTTTTTAAATGATATTTTTCATTTAGTGAATCACTTTCATCAACTAAAGAATTTGCATCAATTTATCAGCTCAAAAAATATTTTTCTCACATGTTAAATTATTTTAAAAGAATGTACACATTTCAATTTCATTTACTCCATTGTATTTAGCTAATTGCATCATTTTCCCGCTTTTTTTATTCACATATTTTACAGAAACATGATAGCAGGTATAAATCCTGGGCAATCTTAATTAGACATTTCAGTAAAAATGTGCCTGATAAAATATTGAAAGGGCCATCCATTTAGCTTATCTAAATGTGACATGTAAGAAACTTGAATAGGTGTAGACGCAGCCTAATTAGTCTAGATGTAAGGGATAGGACATGTTCTATTTTGAAAATCTTGTCGTACAGATTTTTATAGACCTCCCACAATGACAAGTAACAGATTACCAAATTATCTCCTGATAGTGGGTGTAATGAATGAAATTCCAGAACAATTAGGGCTAAAAGGTAAACATAGTTGTAATATGGGGTAAAAATGATGTTGAAAAACTTTTCAGGGAGACCCAAAGTTGTGTTATGTTCGAATCCCAAATTATTCCGAAAATGATTATGTCACGGTATTGAACTGTTCTCTTATTAGGGGAGGGGAGGTAGTTTGTAGGCGGCCAGATAGCTTAGTTAGTAGAGCCGCAGTACGGTATTCCGAGGGTCCAGGTTTGAGCTAGGTCAGGCTTCACATTGAAAAAAAAAATATATATATATTCTTTTAAATAGAGGTGTTTCAATCATCACTCATGGCGAAAAAAAGTATTTAGTGAGTAAAGTATGTAAAGGATCAAAGTAAAGGGATCCTTTTTAGGGACATCTCAGATGATTCCTACAGTGTAGAATTACCGTCTGAATGCAAGTGTTGTATAGCTTTGAAATTTGTACATCTTATCTCTAATTAGTGCTGTACAACTAAATCCTACTGTCTGTAACTGCAAATCGGCTCTTACAACTTGATATCAGATAAAAATATAGCAAGTGTCACCTCTTTAATTAAGCATAACATTGTTTTTCCCCAGCAGTCACGTACAAACAATGATGGGGTCCAATTACTTAATCTGGCAAGTAAAACAATGAGTTTTCAACAATACCTAGGATTGTTAATGCAAATTATTCCTGTCATATGAAACAAAATAATGTTTTGCTTACTTTCTCTAGAAAATATAAACAGTCAACAATTAATAATTGACATTTTTCTTAGAGTTAAAAGGATATCAAAAAGTTTCTGTGTACTCATTTGTCTCTGCGAGCTGAGCTCCACCTGTATTATCTATGAAATAAATTTGAATGTATCCTCACATCGCTACAGTGTTTATCAGCCTTTTTTAGAAACACCTAAACTGGCTAAATAAACTATGCCAATCATAATTTTCACTATCAGCACTGGTTTCTTCATGAAAAAAGCGGCTACACTAATTACTGCCGAGTAAGAGCCGATTTGCAGTTATGAAACATATAATGACATTTAGGTAACAAATTAAACAAGCAATTGATTGTTTTTAAACGAAATTTTTTTAATATGTATACAAATGTAACCCTACCCCACCCACTTTTAACACTTATTTGACCATTTCCTTAATGTAAAAAGCCTTATTTAAAATATCCCTAAAATTTTCCACAATGAGGGGCTGTTTTCAAAGTTTGCCCAAATTTTCTTGAATGTATTTTGGTTGGTCTTGCAAAATATAAAATACTTTTACCGTGTAGTTTTTATTTCATTAAACTTTGAAAATATCTGGTATCATATTTGCTATTAAATTTGGCAGTATCTAGTAAATAAATACCTAAAATAATTATATAATTAAAATGAAACACTTTTTTCTACCATTAGGGGTCTGAGAGATTAATAAAAAAGTTAAAAAGAAAGAAAAAAAATGTTGCCCCTTCTGGGGTTTGAATCCACGCCCCTCAGTTTCAATACACTTGAAAGTGATTCTAGCCTATTTGAATACTCTTCAAAGTGGAGAGTGCATAAGGGGTGCACTATCTTAAGTGATTAACTAGTTACGTAACTAGTAAACCTATTAATTAACTAGTTAGTTAAGTGATTAACAAGTTACGTATAATTTACGTAATAAAACTTTGTTCCGCGGGGGCTCGGAGCGAGATTGAAGAAATTAATGGCGGGATCGCAGGATGAATACACGCTAATTAGCGGGGGCGCGGGCCAAAGGTTAATAAATATAACTTCGCCGCGCGCCCCCGCTAATAAGCGTGTTTTTGTCCCGCGACCCCGCCAAGCGAAAAATCGATAGTAAACGAGTTAAATGGCGGGGGCGCGCAGCGAAAACACGCT